AACAAAAAATTATAAAATGATAAACCTCACAATTGAGCGTTTAAACCAGGGGTGAGTCAGAAGTATAAATTATTATATTAATTTAAAACGGGGTTATGTGGGTGGATTTTCGCATTGGTCTGAACAAAAACTACAGACTGGATTATTGACAATGAACATTCATTCTCTGCCAGTAGGAGGCGCTTTTGGAACGTCAGAAATATAGAATGAGAAAAGTGTGAAAAAATATAGCCTATATTGACGAGGAAAGTCCACTGATGAGTTACCAGAGTAAGCCTGTGTGCAAAGGCTGTCTAATTCTAAACTTTAAAATACATTTATTTTTAGTTATTTTAACTACAAATTTAAATAAAACTGAAAAAAGAATGAAAAGGCAATTATACATTTACACACCTAAGGATTATATCAACCAAAAAAGTATGCGTATGTGTCCTCTACTTGGTTCCTTCTCATAAATAAGCGGCATTTAAAACAATTATAAACATATAATACACACTGTTTCTCAATATTTAATTACAGCTTCAGATGCATGATATTTTAATCTCCTTCAAGCAGGATACACAAAAAGCACGTACAACTCGGGACTGTTGTTGTCGTGGTAATAAACACCATAAACCGCAACCTTCGAGTGTCCGCGCTTAATGCGCATCTCCTATATGAAAAGCATTTTAGGGGGCCCTTGGCTTTGGGGGCCCAAGGCGGTCGCTTACCTTTGCCTAATGGGTAAGTCTGCCCCTGTATAACACAAAAAACCTGTATTATAAAATCTATATAATGTACAATACAGCACACATCTGAGTATGTAATTATAATTGATACAAACTATGGTCATACTTTATTTTAGTGTCCATGTTACACATTACATGCATTTACTATGGTATATTTTCAAATATGTTCGTGAGCTACTGACGTTATCATTATCTAATGTTTTCTGATGACTTATAATGAAAGTGTATGTAGACCAGCGTGTAGTAATACTAATGCGTGAGTGAAATGAAAAGTTGTGCTTGAGACAAACCACCGTTGAGCAGTCAGTCGTGTTTTCCCGCAGCCTCCTCCCCTTTACTACAAGATACGCGCGCTAGTGAATCATTCAGTACTCCAGCGCAATGCGAGCTGAAGCTCTGAGTTTCTATTAAATGAACACACACATCTGACTGAACTCCCTTCAGTTTCTGTGCACTGGGATCTGTTCAGGATGACACCTCTCCTCTGCAACGCCTGCCTCATCTTGCCTGTTGCTTTACATCTGCGTAAGTTGATGCTGAAATAGGCTACATTTACTGAATTGCTTCGACCGGTTTTCTTTTAAATGCATTTATATGGACTTCTGATCAAATGGGTTAGAGGTTGCTCGCTCTTTCTATCCAGCATACACCTGAGTCAAACCGCATTTTTGGTTTATTTAGGCTGCGATTAATCAGATTCAGATATATTATGACAAATATAGATCAAGAGGGGTTGCCTTATCGGATTATGTTAGTGTTCATGGGCTGTTTTGCCATTTTAAATTAGATAAATGTGTAAAACAGCAGATAGAAAAAAAAAACACTGGCGTAGCCTATATACAGTAAGTGTGTATCTGTCCAAAAGTGCTGCAGAGTTGAGGCTCCATCGCTCGAGGAGTTGAGCTCTGGATGTTGCCGGGGCACCGCTGACGTTTCGCTGTTTCTTCGGAGTCGATGCAAATGTTGATGTGACTTATTTCCCCCGAGGATTTAATCTGTGTAAGGGAGAGAGAAAAAACAACGATCGTTACAAATCATGAATAAAAGCAGCTGTTCTGCAACTCACAGCTCTTCTCTCCGGAGAGTAAACCCCTTTTGCCCATTTACGGAACAAGATGTAGGCTAATCAGTCATAACGTGTGTGAGGGAGGAAATGTGTTTAAGACGTGTGTATGATTTAAAATGATAAACAAGCAAGTGAATTTTATGGAATGTGGTTCTGATTGTTTTTAAGGATTCCGGTCCTTAATGGTTGTACTTTAAAGGGGAAAAAAGGCAAGACTTCTTAATGACTTTACAGAGACTTTTATAGGCTGTATAAATGCAATCCATTAATTTGTTAAAAATTTGTAACAATCTTTAATCTAACAATGTGTACCTACAACGTTGTCATATGAACAACTACAGCTTATAAAACGGATAGTTCCGGTCCTTGATTCTGATTGGTTGAGCCGCGTTCGAAGCTGTTGTAAATTAGGCCTACTCTACAAACACTATGATGTTTTGTAGTATAAATAGTGTGAGTAGTGTGTTCACACTGAAAATTCCAAAAAGAAAAAGTGATGCACTTAACCGAAAAACGTCTCCGGTTACTGTCGTAACCTCGGTTCCCTGAGAGACGGGAACGAGACATGGCATTAACGCCTTGGAGACTCCCTTCCTTCCTAACCTACCTGAAATCTTATTGCACAACGCCAGTGAAGTTGCAACTCTCACTGGCCAATGCCAGCCAAGATGGCGAATAAGGGCGGGGCCCCCACCACTATATAATGCGCCGTATTGGCGGCATAAGCTCAGAATCTGCAGACTGAACCAACAGCACAGCAGATCTGAGCAGTGAACACGGTGACCTACGCCATGTCTCGTTCCCGTCTCTCAGGGAACCGAGGTTACGACAGTAACCGGAGACGTTCCCTCTCGAGAACGGTCTCTCGACATGGCGTTAACGCCTTGGGGACTGTATAGAACAGTGGTTCTCAAACCTCTCCATTAAGTACCCCCAGCCCTGCACATTTTGTATGTCTCCCTCTATCTGACACACCCACTTCAGGTCGTGCAGTCTCCACTAATGAGCTGATGAGTTGAATCAGGTGTGATAGATGAGGGAGACATACAAAATGTGCAGGGCAGGGGGTACTCCAGCACAGGTTTGAGAACCACTGCGATAGAACAACGCCTTCGAAGCAGCGAAGTAAAAAGGCTCAGCCTTGGCGGAGCTAACATGAACAGTTCTTGCAAGACACTAAAAATGATCCCCAACCAAACAAATACGACCCTGCGACACGCCTCGAGGGGATTGGATGTAGATTCCCGCTTAGGGATCCAATCAGGTTACTCAGAATCCATATCCGATGGCAGGTCTCTTATTAAGAGAGAGATGCAGCGCCGTCGCCATACAAGGCTAAGACATTATAGTAATGTCAAACGCATACAAGTATGTAATATAACAGTGCAACGAAGCATGTGAGCGGCAAGGCCGGGCACAATACTAACAACAATATTTATTATTATTTATTAACTAAAATATTAATTAGTATTATCGCAGACGATATATATCGCACACCCCTAGGTGGAACGCATACAGACGGGCATTCGGCCACGGCATCGTGAGTGCATCTCCACCTGGGGGAGAGGGTGAGCGTGATTTGACCAAGTACAACATGTTCCTGGATCAACATCTTTGTTGATCCTGGAACATCATTCCAATCAACCAATCAAAATTGAGTGATAACTTTTCAGGAAATGTCAGTTTTAGGCTTACAATCAGGATTAGGTGCTTCTACACCTTTGTTAATCAGCTATCATTTCACACTGATTTTAGGAATAAATTCTGGGTAAGATTAGGTTTAGGGGTAGGGATTGGGTCAAGTCTATAATTTTGGACAGTAATGTTGATCCAGGATCAACAAAAGATGTTGATCCAGGAACATGTCTTACTTGGCAAAATCACAAGGCCGGGCACAATACTAACAACAATATACACACATAGAGAACGGCCGCATCCGGGGCGCCACAGTCTGAATATGACGATGGCCCCCGATCCCCCTATACGACCTAGTCGAAACCACCAGCACAGTCAAACAGCTAGTGGTTGCAGGTAGAACCATGGGTCGTGCTCACCGACAGGACCTGTGAGGCTAATGACCACACGTCAAATTGTAGAATCTGGCAAAGGTATTCTGCGAAGACCATCCAGCCGCCATACAAATATCTTTGATAGAAATGCCCTTAGTCCACACCCACGAGGAGGCAACCGCCCTCGTCGAATGGGCTCTGACACCAATAGGACATTCCCTTCCCCGGCTAGAATATGCCAAGGCAATAGCGTCGACCACCCAATGTGATTTTAGGAATAAATTATGGGTAAGGTTAGGTTTAGGGGTGAGGATTGGGTTAAGTCTGTATCTTTGGAAAGTAATGTTGATCCAGGATCAACAAAAGATGTTGATCCAGGAACATGTCTTACTTGGCAAAATCACGGTGACCTAGGGGAGAACGTGACAGAGAGAAGAACAGAGGGCAATGCGTGTTCTCCTCTGTCGCAAAAAAGTCTATCTCCGCTTTCCCGAACCATTCCCAGATCAGTCTCACTGTCCCGGGGTTCAGTCTCCATTCTCCTTGAGGAATCCCGTCCCTTGATAGCATATCCGCGCCGCTGTTCAAGCAGCCCGGAACATGCGCTGCTCGAATGGAGAGCAGATGGTGATCGGCCCACAGCAAAAGGCGTGCTGCCTGTCTGTAAAGGGGTCTCGAGTGTACTCCGCCCTGGCGGTTTATGTACGATACCACCGACATGTTGTCCGTGCGAATCAACACGTGATGCCCCCGGACTTGCGTGAGGAAACTCCGACTCTGTCCAGTAGCCCGAGGCCAGTACGCAGTCGCAATGAGCTCCCCAGCCCATCGTCGACACGTCCGTCGTGACCACTTTCCGCCGCGTGACCAGACCCATCTGGGCGCTGTGTTGGTCTGATTCGGGGCGGCATCCAATGAAGTCTCCAACTCTGGAGTGAAAACAGAAAGCGCCACCACTTGCGCTCTGAATGGTGTCGAGAGCGATTTAGGCATGTAGCCCAATCTTGGCTTGAGCGTGACTTTGCAATCTCCTGGTCCAAACTGCATACAGTCCGCATTCACAGAGAGCGCCACGCTTGCAAATCCCCCACGCGCTTGACCGAAGCAAGGGCGTGCAGCAGCGTGGTTTTAAGCGAGAGTTCCCTCAAGCCGACAGTCTGGAGTGGCTCGAAGGGTGGGAGGTCTAGCACCCCCAGCACCAGAGCCAGGTCCCAGGATGGCACCGTAGGAGGGCGAGAGGGTCTTAGTCTTCTCGCACCTCTCAAAAATCTGATCACTAGATGGTGTTTTCCCACTGAGCGCCCGTCAATAGCAGCGTGAAAGGCTGAGATAGCTGCAACATAAACCTTAAGAGTGGAGGGCATACTGCCGCCGTCCATTCGTTGTTGCAAAAAATTCAGAATGTCAGACACGGGGCAGTTTTCCGGGTCCCTGGCGGTTTATGTACGATACCACCGACATGTTGTCTGTGCGAATCAACATGTGATGCCCCTGGACTTGCGTGAGGAAACTCTGAAGAGCCAAAAAGACCGCTCTCAGTGTGTTTTCCCACTGAGCGCCCGTCGAAAGCAGTGTGAAAGGCTGAGATAGCTGCAACATAAACCTTAAGAGTGGAGGACATACTGCCGCCGTCCATTTGTTGTTGCAAAAAATTCAGAATGTCAGACACGGGGCAGTTTTCCGGGTCCCGACCATTCGATTCACACCATCTCTCAAACACTGCCCATTTACAGGCGTACAGGCATCTCGTAAAAGGGGCTCGCGCCTCCGTAATCGTGTCCATCGCGTGGT